ACAGCTTCGGTGCTGTACTGGTGATGTTGCTGTACTGGTGCTGTTGCTGTTGCTGTTGGTGGTACTGGTGCTGTTGCTGTTGGTGCTGTACTGGTGCTGTTGCTGTTGGTGGTAGTAGCGCCCTTCTCATCCTCCTGTTCCTCCTCCTCCCCCTCCTTTTCGGCAGCGGCGGCAATTACCATGTACGCATTGGGAGGTTGCGGTGATGACGGCGGCGGCGGCTGCGACGGCGACGAAGAAGGCCACAGGGCCTCCTTCGCGAGGCATAGGGGTCAACGCTGGCAGCCCCACAAGGGCTCAGAGTCAACATTGAAAGTCGTAGGCCCCCCTGGGTTCGCAGCCTACCCATGGAGGCCTCGTGGTGCCTCCTGGGGACCTCCTGTGGGCCATCTGGACCATCTGGGGACCTCTTGGGGCCACACGGTGGACCTCTGGGGGCCCTCTTGGGGGGCTTGCATGAGCGCTGCCCCTCCTCCTGGTGTGACTCGTTCGGGCTCCTCGTGGTGTGAGTCGTTCGAGGCCCGCGTCGTGGTGTGAGTCGTTCGGGGTCCTCGTGGTGTGAGTCGGTCGGGCGCCTCGTCCTGGTATGAGTCGTTCGGGCCCCTCCTTGTGGTGTGAGTCGTTCGGGCTCTTCGTGGTGTGAGTCGTTCGGGCCCCTCGTCCTGGTGTCAGTCGTTCGGGCTCCTCGTAGGGCCTCTTGGGGGCCTCTTGGGGCCTCTTGGGGGCCTCTTGGGGGCCTCTTGGGGGCCTCTTGGGGCCTCTTGGACGCCTCTTGGGAGCCTCTGGGAGGCATCTTGGGGCCTCTTGGGGGCCTCTTGCGACCTCCGCAGAAGCGCAAATGAGCGCGAGCCCCTGCGAAGGACAAAATGAGCCCAAAACCTTCGTAAAATCAATGATTTTGAGAAGAAGGAAGAGGAGCGCTGCCCCCTCAGAAGGGCAAAATGGGGCCGAAACCGTAGTAAAATCAATGACCTCTGGGGGCTCTCTTGGGAAGCTTGTATGAGCGCTGCCCCTCCTCCTGGTGTGACTCGTTCGGGCTCCTCGTGGTGTGAGTCGTTGGAGGCCCGCGTCGTGGTGTGAGTCGTTCGGGCTCCTCGTGATGTGAGTCGGAGGCCTCTTGGGGCGTCTTCGGCGCCTCGTGGGGCCTCTTGGGGGCCTCTTGGGGGTATCTCGGGGGCCTCATGGAGGCCTCGTGGTGCCTCCTGGGGACCTCCTGTGGGCCATCTGGACCATCTGGGGACCTCTTGGGGCCACACGGTGGACCTCTGGGGGCCCTCTTGGGGGGCTTGCATGAGCGCTGCCCCTCCTCCTGGTGTGACTCGTTCGGGCTCCTCGTGGTGTGAGTCGTTCGAGGCCCGCGTCGTGGTGTGAGTCGTTCGGGGTCCTCGTGGTGTGAGTCGGTCGGGCGCCTCGTCCTGGTATGAGTCGTTCGGGCCCCTCCTTGTGGTGTGAGTCGTTCGGGCTCTTCGTGGTGTGAGTCGTTCGGGCCCCTCGTCCTGGTGTCAGTCGTTCGGGCTCCTCGTAGGGCCTCTTGGGGGCCTCTAGGGGGCCTCTTGGGGCCTCTTGGGGGCCTCTTGGGGGCCTCTTGGGGGCCTCTTGGGAGCCTCTTGGACGCCTCTTGGGAGCCTCTGGGAGGCATCTTGGGGCCTCTTGGGGGCCTCTTGCGACCTCCGCAGAAGCGCAAATGAGCGCGAGCCCCTGCGAAGGACAAAATGAGCCCAAAACCTTCGTAAAATCAATGATTTTGAGAAGAAGGAAGAGGAGCGCTGCCCCCTCAGAAGGCCAAAATGGGGCCGAAACCGTAGTAAAATCAATGATTTTGGCTTCACAGAAGAGGAGAGGGTTTTTTCAGAGCCCCCCCGTCGGGGCCAGAATCCTCGTGAGGGTCGTCGTTTTTTGGCCCTCCCAGGAGTCGAAAAAGACCCCCCTGAGAACACTCGGGACTCCCTGTCCAGGCCCAGGGGGAGGGGGTAGGGGGAGGGGTAAACCCCTCCCCGAAGGGGAAGAAGGGGGGTTGGGGGGTTGAGGACAGAGAGAGCTCTCTAAACCACTCACGCCCAAAGGGCTGGTGGGATTTGTTTATATGATGGTGGGAGTCGTCGGGCCTCTTCGGCCCTTGGCCCCCTGGCAGCCACCGTTGAGCCGTAAAATTCTTTTGCGGTTGGCTCCGGTGGTTGTGTATATGTATATGCCAGGGGTGCTGTGGCCGGATGGGCTCTACAAGGCCCGCCGCGGGGGGAGTAAATCTGCCCCACTCTGCCTCATATTAATATCGCATGCTCTTACACTTGCATGTTGTGCACTGTCTGACTTGAACTTGCGCTGCATACTGCAGCTGTTTGTTTACTCAAGCGAGCTATTCGTTTGCTTGCAGGAGAGAAGAGGTGCGAGCTAGCCCGCTCGCGCGCGCCGCGGGGTCGCCCCCGCGTCGTTGTCGTGTCGCTGGCCGGCCGGCCACCTCCTTTACCATTCCTGACATAGTAAACTTGCTTACCGGATACTTGTCTTATCGATGTCACATCCCGTCCCCTCTCTCCCTGAGCAGAGTGAACATGAGATCTTAATTCCTTTGGCATCTTACCCCGATTCTCAGAGGAAAGACTCAGGGCCGCCGTTTTCGACACGTTAAGCAACAATTCCCGACCGTATTCGGCTCCAGCGACAGCCCAACGGTGCCCACCCACTCAACGCGCGACCCTCCGCGTCGGTGACCGGGCGCACGTAACACGCCCCGCCCTCGGCTGGTTGCTGGTCGCCGCGTCCGCCCACCGTGTTCCTTTTATAGAGGGTATCCCGGCGTAGGTTGCACGCGTTCTGTCCTTCACAGGATGAATTATTCCTTTCGCTTCGCGGGGGGCACGTTTGGAACACCAACACACTGGGCGTTGGGTGGTTTGCCCTGCGCGTCTACCGCAAAGTTCTGGCCGCCCTGGGGCGCTGCCAGCGTCTCGGGGGCGGATGCGTCCCCGCCGTTTCAGCGCTGGGGCGAGCGTGCGAATGTCCACGGGCGATGAATGTTCACCGCGTGTCAGCATGAGGCAGCGCCAAGTTCGAACTGCGACGAGCATATCAAAAGCGCGCTATTTGTATGTAGTTCCGCGATGTTTTTTGTTTTTGTTTTTGCGGCCGTTTGGGGCTTCATTCGGCGGCCTCTTGGGAGTTTCTTTGGGGCCCCTGGGGGCCTCTTGGGGACCTCTTGGGGGCTTTTAGGGGGCCTTTTGGGGCCTCGTGGGCCGTCTTGAGGCGGCTTCGAGCCAAGGTCCCGCCGACAAGCGAGCAGCCCTTGCTTTATTGTCCCTCGCGCTCGGCGGCGAGCCTCGGGGGGAAGAGAGGGGGGGCCAGCCTTTTCAGAAGATTCGGAAGGCCTCCAGTATCTAGTGACCTTCGGCCCATCCCGCCACAATGCCTGGGCCTGGGTTGTGGGTGTGAGGCCGCTTTGATGTTCGTGGGATCTCGCGGGGGGCTTCTCGCGGGCCCGTTGGGAGGCAGATTTCTGGGGGCCTATTTGGGGCCTCTTGGTTGCCTCTTGGGGCCTCTTGGAGGCGTTCTGGTGGCCTTTTAGGGCTTCCTGTGGGCTTCGTGGGGCCTCCTGGGGACTACTTGGTCCAGAAAGCTCGGATTTTCGGTTCGTGTCTTGGGCGCCTTTTGGTGCTGTCTTCGGACTGGGCCGTCTTGGGCGCCTGTTGGGCCGTCTCGGGGCCCTCTGGGCCCGTCTTGGGGATCTCTTGGGGGCCACTTGGGTTGTCTTGGGGTGGTCCTGTGGGCTTCTTGGGCCGTCTCGGCGCGTCGGGAAGCCGAAAAGGCGAGAGCGGTAAACTCATCATACGCCTGAGGGAATCTAATGTTTTTGTTTGTTTGTTTTTGTTTGGGAGAGGCTCTTGGGGCTCTCTTGGGGCGTCTTAAGGGCTCTTGTACCGTTTTAGGATAATCTTGGGCGTTTTGAAGCGATCTTTCGGCGATTCGGAGCATTGTTGGACCATTTTGGCAGCCTCTTGGGCTCCTCTTGGACCATTTTGGGGCCCTCTTGACTCTGGGCGGCGAAACAGTCACGCGGAAAGCTGCGACAAGATGCGAGAAGCCCCGAGAGATTTGAAGCGAGGGGTCCAGGTGCTTCTTCAAGAATCAACCCCCAGGAGTGAGAAGTGAGGTTCAGAGGATGAGACAAAGGACCTGAGGATACGCCCAGGCCCCTCGGAGGCCCCTCGTGGGCTCCTCGGGGGCCTTTCGGGGGCCCCTCGGGGGCCCCTCGGCCGTCCTCCCTCTCGATCCTTCCCCTGCTCCTCCTGCTGTTCCTCCTCCTGCTGCTCCTCCTCCCCCTCCTGCTTCCTCCTGCTGCTCCCCCTCCTGCTTCCCGTCCTGCTCCTCCTGCTGCTGCTCCTGCTGCTGAGCCGCTGGTTCGGTTCGGCCGGCTCGGTTCGGCGAGCCGATTCGGTCTTGCAGGTTCGGTTCGTCGGGCCGGCGGTTGGGTTCGCTTCATTCGCTTCTGCTGGTTCAGGTCGAGGGCAGGTCCGGTTTGGCAGGTTCGGGTCGAAGTCCGGTTCTCGGTTTTCGGTCTGGGTCGCGGCCATCATGCATAAATTGTGGGCTGGGGACCCGAAGGCTTCGCTCCCCAGCGCCAGGGTTTCGAAATCCGTTGCACGAATCGTGGCCTGGGGAGCTTTGATTCATGGCGCTTCAGGAGGGATCGCCTCCTTCGGAGGGAGAGAGTAGTATCGAATGTCCGTGGAGGGGCAGGAGTCCTGAGACCCCCAAAGGGAAGCTGCCTTCTGCCGCATTCTTCAGACCATTGGGGGAGACGCGTTCAACATGGCTCTTCTGATAGTCCGTAACCAGTTTGGCTCAGGCTTGGCCCGCGGCATCCGCAGAGCGGTTGGAGACACAGGCGCGCCGAGTAGCTTTCCCACTGGGGGCCATGGCTCGCTTCACCCTGGCCATCTTACTGCTGTCCGCCCGCGCGCTGGCGGACGCGGGGTGCGTCGCCGACGGCACGTGCCCGACCTATGAGGCCGATACCTCCGCGCTTCTGCAGAGCCGGGCCTCACGCTTCGGAGCTACGCTGGCGCGGACGACGTGCCCAGGGAGCAACACCTCATGTGCCGGCAACCAGTGCTGCCCCCGCACGGCTGGGCAGCACGGGGGGGACAAGACTTTCTCGTGCCCGAGCGCGGATGCCGGCTGGGACGGCTGCGAGACCGGCGTCGCAGCTCTCGTGCAAGCTGATACGGTGACGTGCCCAGGGAGCAACACCTCATGCGCCGGCAACCAGTGCTGCCCCCGCACGCCCGGGCAGCACGGGGGGGACAAGACTTTCCCGTGCCCGAGCGCGGATGCTGGCTGGGACGGCTGCGAGACCGGCGTCGCAGCTCTCGTGCAAGCTGATACGGTGACGTGCCCAGGGAGCAACACCTCATGTGCCGGCAACCAGTGCTGCCCCCGCACGGCTGGGCAGCACGGGGGGGACAAGACTTTCCCGTGCCCGAGCGCGGATGCCGGCTGGGACGGCTGCGAGACCGGCGTCGCAGCTCTCGTGCAAGCTGATACGGTGACGTGCCCAGGGAGCAACACCTCATGTGCCGGCAACCAGTGCTGCCCCCGCACGCCCGGGCAGCACGGGGGGGACAAGACTTTCCCTTGCCCGAGCGCGGATGCCGGCTGGGACGGCTGCGAGACCGGCGTCGCAGCTCTCGTGCAAGCTGATACGGTGACGTGCCCAGGGAGCAACACCTCATGTGCTGGCAACCAGTGCTGCCCCCGCACGCCCGGGCAGCACGGGGGGGACAAGACTTTCCCTTGCCCGAGCGCGGATGCCGGCTGGGACGGCTGCGAGACCGGCGTCGCAGCTCTCGTGCAAGCTGATACGGTGACGTGCCCAGGGAGCAACACCTCATGTGCCGGCAACCAGTGCTGCCCCCGCACGCCCGGGCAGCACGGGGGGGACAAGACTTTCCCTTGCCCGAGCGCGGATGCCGGCTGGGACGGCTGCGAGACCGGCGTCGCAGCTCTCGTGCAAGCTGATGCGGTGACGTGCCCAGGGAGCAACACCTCATGTGCCGGCAACCAGTGCTGCCCCCGCACGCCCGGGCAGCACGGGGGGGACAAGACTTTCCCTTGCCCGAGCGCAGCGCCTGGGACGGCTGCGAGACCGGCGTCGCAGCTCTCGTGCAACTGAGCGGTGGACGTGCCCCATTGAGCAACACCTCATGTGCGGCAACAGTGCTGCCCCCGCACGCCGGCAGCACGGGGGGACAAGGACTTTCCCGTGCCCGAGCGCAGACGATGGCTGGGACGGCTGCGAGACCGGCGTCGCAGCTCTCGTGCAAGTGATACGGTGACGTGCCCAGGGAGCAACACCTCATGTGCCGGCAACCAGTGCTGCCCCCGCACGCCCGGGCAGCACGGGGGGGACAAGACTTTCCCTTGCCCGAGCGCAGACGCCGGCTGGGACGGCTGCGAGACCGGCGTCGCAGCTCTCGTGCAAGCTGATGCGGTGACGTGCCCAGGGAGCAACACCTCATGTGCCGGCAACCAGTGCTGCCCCGCACGCCGGGCAGCACGGGGGGGACAAGACTTTCCCTTGCCCGAGCGCAGACGCCGGCTGGGACGGCTGCGAGACCGGCGTCGCAGCTCTCGTGCAAGCTGATACGGTGACGTGCCCAGGGAGCAACACCTCATGTGCCGGCAACCAGTGCTGCCCCCGCACGCCCGGGCAGCACGGGGGGGACAAGACTTTCCCTTGCCCGAGCGCGGATGCCGGCTGGGACGGCTGCGAGACCGGCGTCGCAGCTCTCGTGCAAGCTGATACGGTGACGTGCCCAGGGAGCAACACCTCATGTGCTGGCAACCAGTGCTGCCCCGCACGCCTGGGCAGCACGGGGGGGACAAGACTTTCCCGTGCCCGAGCGCGGATGCCGGCTGGGACGGCTGCGAGACCGGCGTCGCAGCTCTCGTGCAAGCTGATACGGTGACGTGCCCAGGGAGCAACACCTCATGTGCCGGCAACCAGTGCTGTCCCCGCACGGCTGGGCAGCACGGGGGGGACAAGACTTTCCCTTGCCCGAGCGCAGACGATGGCTGGGACGGCTGCGAGACCGGCCTCGCAGCTCTCGTGCAAGCTGATACGGTGACGTGCCCAGGGAGCAACACCTCATGTGCCGGCAACCAGTGCTGCCCCCGCACGCCCGGGCAGCACGGGGGGGACAAGACTTTCCCGCGCCCGAGCGCAGACGATGGCTGGGACGGCTGTGAGACCGGCGTCGCAGCTCTCATGTGAGCGTGATTCATCTTGTTAATTTTCCGTGCTGGCCAGAGGGCACCGCTTCAATGCGCACGCTGCTTACGTTGCCTGTGTCTGCATCGAGACTCGCCTGCGTCAAGTCAGGGCCCTTGGTTTCCGTCTTGCAATGGCAACGATGGCGCATCTGTTTCATCTCGAATACCTAGTGTGTGCACCTCCCCGACCCGATCAATTTCTCACATTGCCAATTGTACTCCCGCCTTTCATCCTGCGCACTTTTGCGAGAGAAGAGGGTTCGCCGATCGCAGCGCCCGTGCCTTCAGACTTGGGCACGTCTGTTGAAGTGTCAACGAGGGCAACGTTTTTGCAACCATGAGTTCGCCACGCACGGACGTGCAAGCATCTGCAGCTGACGGCCAGCCAGCTGACTGGCAGCTGTAGATCCGACTTTGAACTGCCAGCTGACAGGGGCTGTATAGCGCATGCATCCAATTGCCTGCGCATCCATGGGTCCCGCATACATACTAGTTCGCTCGCACCGCGGCGCCGCGGGTTGCAAAACAACGATGTTGATTCAAATGCCGTTATGCATGCTTGGTACTGTTGCGCACCTGTGCGGTTTTTATCGAAGACGCCTACGGCGACTCACCGCCGTCCCTTGCCCCTTTGGAAGCGCCTCAGTGGCCGACAGCTGGGCCGGAGCTCGGCCAAACTATCGGGCCGGTTGTTCTCCGAGTCGGTTTGGAAAGTCTTCGGGGAACGCGTGAGAGGGCAAGAATAGGAGGAGGGGGAGGAGGAGGGAGGAGGAGAAGGAGGAGGAAAAGGGAGGAGGAGGAGGAGGAGGAGGAGGAGGAGGAGGAGGAGGAGGAGGAGGATACCTCTTGGGCCCCTCTTGGGGCACTCTTGGAGCCTCATGGGGGCTTCCCGGGCGCCTTTTGGACGGTTTTCGAAGGCCTTTGGGGGCCTCTTTGGCCGTCCGAGCGCGTTCCTAGCTTGTCTGACGCCGTCGGAAGCCGTCTTGGGGGCCTGCCTGGTCGTCTTGTGGCCCTCTTGTGGCATCCCAGGGCCGTCGTAGAGGCCATCTTGGCCGTCTTGCAGGCCTCTTTGGGGCCGTCTTGTGGCCCTTTTGGGAGCCTCCTGGGCTGTCATGGGTCCATCTCCGAGGCCTCGTGGACGATCTTGGGGCGATCTTGGGGGCGTCTTGGGCCGTCTTGCGCCGTCGGAATGCCGTGAAGAAGCAAGTGCAACACTCCTTCGAACCCCCGAGGGAAATCTATGATTGTGGCCTCTTCGGGCAATCCTGGAGGACCTCTAGGAGGCCTCTTGGGCAGTCTTGGGGGCCTCTTGGGTCTTGGGTGCCTCTTGGGTCGTCTTGGGCTATCACGAGGCCGTCTTAGGCCGTCTTGGGTGCATCCTGGGCCGTCTTGGAGGCATCTTGGGACCATCTTAGCCGTCTTGGAGGCCATCTTGGCCGTCTCGGAGGCCTCTCAGGGCTCTCCTTGGGCGGTCATTTGGGGGTTCTTGGGCCAAGGGCACTGTGGCGGATCTTTTGATCGCCGTTGCTGCTGTTTCCCCTGCGCGCCCCCGCGCGCTTGGTGCCGCTCCTGCCGCGGGGCCTATCGGGCGACCGCGGCGGCATGGCCCGCAGGCGCGCGGCCGCTGACGACCGACGACGACGGCGAGGACGACGACGACGACGGCGGCGACGACGAGGATGAGGAGGACGACGATGGCGACGACGACGATGACGATTGCGACGACGATTGGGGGGGCTCCGGTTTCGATGGGGGGCGGGTTCTGTTCATTTCGGGGGGATTTGCTAATCGGAGATCTCACTGCGTTCTGAAGCCAAGCGCTCACCGTTGGAACTGCGGCCTCCATCAGAGTTCAGCAATCTGTACTATCTTGTGGTAAGTAACGGAACGTTTGTGGCTCTGATGGTGCTTTGCGAAGCCAATTCTTGACGCTTCGTGTATCCCCACTCCTGCTGCGCCCTTATCTGTCGGTGGATCAAGGGACTGACGCATCACAGTTGTGGAAGTTTCTTTCTGCCCACTCTCATTCCACACCCTGGATGCGTATACTGACGTTGCGATGTTCTGTTTCGCCGTCAGGTCTTCCCGTTGGACATTGTCGCCAGACAGTCTGTGTTACCCGTCAGACTCCCTGGATAGACGTCTTCGGGACCGTTCCTACCCGTTCGACTCGAACTGTTGGGAGCGCCTTACGCGCCATTTTGGCTGCGCTCGGCTTCCTCGGTGCCTGTGTTCAGACTCCCTGGATGCGCCGTTGCGTGACCCGTCCTGGGACTGCCCTGCAGACTCCCTGGATTGCACGCCTTGGCTCAGACGCCCCGGGTAGCTGCTGCCCGCCGCCTGACCGCGGTTTCGCGCGCGCCCGCCGCTAGTCGCGGCCGCAGCCCGCCCGCGACTGCCCGCCGCCGGCGCTTCCGCCTGCGGCCGTTTAAAAAGAAGTATCCCCACTCCTGAGAGAGGGTCTGGAGCCACTATACCACCACGTGGTCAGGTGCCCTCCTGACAGGACGACGCAAGGCCAGACCCCGGGCGACTCACATATAGAGACCCTCCAGGTTGGGGTTCAAGCCGCTTTGGCGACCAACAACAACGGAAACACCTGGAGGTCCAGCGAGGCGTCCGACTCCGTGCACATCCCAATTTCTTCTGCCGCCACCTGCATCGCTCTGACAATGGCCGCAGACGCGGCAGCAGCTCTAGGATACAGAGCTGGCCTCAAGGGGGGAGGAATCCTCTTACTGAAGACCCCCGAAAGGGTAACTGCACCCATACTGCGATACCTTGAGGAGAAGCTTCCCTGGGTATTCGGACCAGCGAGCGGCTTTCCTGCGCGCTGCGCCCGAAGGATCCACATGGAACGGAACTGGGGCGGCGGCCCATCATTCATCAGACTCACCGACCCGGAGGAAGGCCACCACCTCCGATGGAACCTCGCAGACCTTGGGCAGCTTAGTCGTCAAGAAATCATGGGTGCAGTAGAGGCCACAATAGGCTCTGGAACGGTCGAGCAGGTCTCCACGGTGTTTTGCCTGGTTCCCAAACACAGGCGAATACACCCACATGACGCAGGTAAGGATCCGTCTCAGTGCCGCTGCCAACATGTCGGCAGCCTTCTGCGGGACCAGCTGCATCACAGTGGGGTCGCAAGTGGTGAGGATATTCCCGGCCACCCCTTCAAGAAAACAGATCAGAGGGGGCACGGGAACTCCCAGGGCCCAAACAGAGGACATCGCAGCCATAGCCGAGGAGGCAGTTCGGCAGGCCCCCAGAAGGGCAGTACAGCCGCATATATGGGAGATTGCAACGTTTGACAAGCAGGGGAGGCAGGTCGGCCCCCCCCGCCCGCGGCCAATGCGTCCGGACCCGTGGGTCCCCAGCCGCACCAGGCTCAGGATTTTCTCGGCCTCAATCGGCTCCGCAGGAGCAAAATTGCACACCAGGGCGTGGCCACTCCCAGAGGGAGTGGACAGTAGGGAAAAAGCGAGCCTGGTAAGAGCCCCACCCCCGGACATCCACGAGGAATGGCTACGCGAGGTGGACAGCACCATGAGCGGGCCGCTCGCCACCAGGAGGGTGACCGCAGAGAACAGGGACGGACTACGGGGCTGCAGCACCATACTCCACCCAGGAGAGCACCTCTCAGCAGCGGTTGCGACAGGAGGGGCAATATCCATCATCACCTGTGGGGAGTATGGCCACCTGTACACGTCGACCCCCATGTAGGTCACCATCGCCCTACCAGCTGAGGCCGACCTGAGAGCAGCCTACAGAGGCGCCGCCCGCCCGCATATAAGGGTAACCATTCAGTTGCTACACGGACCCGTGCATCTAGCAAAGCGGGGCGCCGCGCCGGCACCTGCACCGACCCCCGACGAGCTAGGAATTGGCACCAGCCAACCTCACAGCGCGACCATACCTCACAGAAGACACGGTGCGGTGGATTCACTCCCAGGCCCGGCTCGCCCGAGAACGTACCCCCCCTCGCAGAGGTGCTCACGTACAAAACCCGTCACAGGACGCAGACAGGAGGCACCCTGGTCAGAGCAGAAACCGATGCAGTAGCGTGCGCACAAGGCATGCTCGGCCGGCTCCAGGCGTGCATCGACGAGCAGAGCATTCACGACCTGGCAAGAAGCATGCAAACCAGATTGGTATTGAAGCAGAGACGACAGGAAGAGGGTAGACCCATCAGAAGATATAACTGGGACCCCTTTGCAGCGATCTGGATCCTTCAGCTGGCGGACCCGGCCATGCTGGACAGGGGCCACCTCCACCAGCTCATCAGGGAGCTTGGAATAAAGGAGGAGGTCACCAGGCAGCTCCCCTTCGCGCAATGGCTCTCCCCGGAACCAGACCCCACATACACTGCCCATCACCCTTGGCTGGAGGTCCCAGGGAGCAGAGGGGCAGACGTTGACAGTGACGCAGGACCCAGGATGGCCTCAGGTACGCTTGAAGGTATCCAAACCCTAGACGAGAGGCTCCGAAGGGCCGCCAGCCAGGATAGACTGCGACAGGACCCGGGAAGAGCGCCCAGGCCACGAAGGACCTCCAGAAGCAATCAAGTGAACCCCACTAGTGAGGCCAGAGTGCGGAACGCACGGGCCAGGCAGGAACTGCCACGGAGGACGCGCGACTGAGGGCAAGGCGGCCCTCGAACAGAGGACCGTGCGCACGCACAGGGCGTGCAGACCCCTCCCAACGGCCCTTCGAATCGACAATCAAACCCCTCCCCTGGGGTACAGACAGGCACCCCGCAGACCGGGGGCCAGGGCAGCCAAGGGGCCCAGTCCCCAACGGGAATCCCTGGACACCGTGAAGGGGGAGGCATCGGCGAGGGCAGCGCCACTCCGTCGGCATCTCCAGGAAACGCCCGCGCGAGCGCCACCCCAGACACGGGGGCGACAAGCGCCCCCAGCCAGGAGAATGCGGGCAGGCGCCACGGGGCAGATCACGCAGGTCAGCAGAGCCCGCGACCTCAGGCTCCACCACGGGCTGGAA